ACCAGGGACCCTCCAGGCCACCTCCATGGTCTTCAGCGCCATCTTGAGCCTCATACTCTGCCCCGCACCTGGAATTCAGTGCTGGTCATCCACCAGGGACCCTCCAGGCCACCTCCATGGTCTCCAGCGCCATCTTGAGCCTCATACTCTGCCCCGCACCTTCCATCATCTCCGCAGCAGTTCCTGCAGTCCTGCCTCCACTCCAGCCAGCACCGACTCCGGACCCTACATCCAGGGAACCAGCCCACCCAGACCTCTTGGATGCTGCCTCCTCTTCCTCTTCTTCCTCCTGCCCTCCTTGCTCCCCAGAGCCTGGGAGAGAGGCACCGGGGCCTGAGCCACCAGCAGCTGCCGTGGGAAGCAGCGTGAGTGGGGAAGGCAGGAGCGAGAAGGGGCGCCTCTACTGCCCCACGTGTAAGGTGACGGTGAACTCGGCCTCCCAGCTTCAGGCTCACAACACAGGTCAGTGGTCCCTAGGAGCTGGAGCCCGGGGGAAAGGGTGGGGCAGAAGCTGAGCCTCACCAGATGTGGGCAGGCCTGAGTTCCTGGGTGCTTCGCTCAAGGGTTGGGTGTCAGAGGCGTTGTGCTCGCTTATTATTGGGCAGGCATTTCCGGGTCCTCCCATGACTCCCTGGGGAGGGCGAATTGGGAAGGAAAGTGTGAGGCAGCAAGAACTGAATGAAGGTCGCTAAACCTCTGAAGAGTCACTCCACAGGAGACAGGAGACATCTCTCTCTATCCTTAGATCACACCTAGAAGGAGGAGGCTGAGATCAAAGCAAAGGGGAAGCCAGCCAGTTATAGCCAGGAAGGCCTTCCATGGGAGGGGCTGGCATGCAAGGGCAGGCTGGGAGGAGAAACCACGTGTGGCTGGAGGGCGATGTGTGCACAGAGCAGCCCTGAGCCTTATAGGGAGCGCTAAACTGAGTGAGTGTGGAGGGGGTCTCCGTGGCCCCTGTAACCCCTTTCTGCTGCTGAGACACTGCCTTCTTCCCCCTCCAGGAGCCAAGCACCGGTGGATGGTGGAAGGTCAGCGAGGGGCTCCCCGGAGGGGCCGGGGCCGCCCAATGTCCAGGGGAGGCACCGGACACAAGGCCAAGAGAGTGACAGGGGGCCGGCAGGGGCCCAGCCCCGCTTTCCACTGTGCCCTCTGTCAGCTCCAGGTCAATTCAGAGACCCAACTCAAGCAGGTGGGAGAAGTGAGGCTGGGACTGGGGTTGGAGCCAGGGGAGGGGGTTGGGGAACAGGGCAGGAGAGGGAGGGATCCTGAAGAAAGAGGGCAGGCAGGGCAGAGCAGGGCGGGCTGGAGGAGCGAGGCCAGCAGGCCAGTGGGCCAGTTGAGAGCAAGGGCCAAGACTCACCTCCCCTTCCCAGGGTGAGGACCCAGTCTGTCTGCTTTGGATGTTTGAACTGTGGGTAGAGGAATGGGGAGAGGGTTGAGGATGATGGTCTTGGGGTCCTCGGGCTTTGACATCTTGTTCCCAATCTGTCTGTCCATTAGCACATGAGCAGCAGGAGGCACAAAGACCGCCTGGCCGGGAAGCCCCCCAAGCCCTCCAGCCAGCACAGCAAGCTGCAGAAGCACGAAGCGCTGGCTGTGAGTATCCTCAAGGTATCTGTCTCCAGGCAACAGAGCTGGGACTGGGTCTGGAGGGGAGATGGGGAGAGAGTGGGCTGGGAGGGCCAGAGGGGGTTGCGGTGGGGCAGGAAAGAGGCCCCCCTGCACTGAGGCTGCTGGGCCAGGAGGGAGCTGGGGCTGGGAACTGGGATCTACCCAGAGGAATTTCCGGGGAGGTGGGCTGGGGTAGTTCATCTTAGGGGCAAGAGCTAGGGGTGAGCGTGCATCCCCCAGAGACCATTTTTATCCTATAAATCCTCCCTTCTCCCATCGTGAGACTTTCCTCCCTCTAGACAGGAAGACAGGTGGTGGAGAAAGCCCTTTGGAATGAATGTTTGGGGGTGGGAAGGGAGGAGGATTTAGGTTTGGAAGTCTAAAAGGCATGTTTTCTCTGCAGCAAAAAGCTTGAGGATGGGGCCCGGGGCAGGGTGGGGTTTCTGCGGTGGAGACTGTCCTTTCCTTTCTTTTCTGTGTAGTCTAAACTGGCCTTGCAGAAGCAACTCACCAAGACGCTGGCAGCCCGCTTTCTGCCCAGCCCGCTCCCCACCGCAGCCACTGCCATCTGCGCCCTGCCAGGACCCCTGGCCCTCCGCCCTGCCCCTACAGCAGCCACTGCCCTCTTCCCGGCTCCGATCCTGGGCCCAGCTCTGTTTCGCACCCCAGCAGGAGCTGTCCGCCCTGCCACAGGACCTATTGTGCTTGCCCCTTATTAGCCCTCATGGGGAGGCCAGGGCTGATTTCCCAGTAGCCAGTCCTTGTCTCCTCCTGTCCCAAGACACCTTGGTTTCCTACATGCCACAGGGACTGTGAACAGCTTCAATGGTCTTGCCTACTCCAGGAAGAGCTGGACTAGTTTTAAGGACAGCTGCCCTTCCAAGGACTGTCCCCACCCTCCTTTCCCAGGCCTTCTAGGCTTCCCTGCATCTCCCACCCTGACAGATCCCAAAGATCTATGCAAATCTCAGCCCCAGCCACGCGGTGCTCATTTTCCTCCACCCAAGACCTACACCAAGACCCACACGGCCAGACTCCAGGAATCGTAGCTTCTACAAGCCGTCCTCTCCTAGCTGAGGGACAAGTCTCTGACCTCTATTCCTAGGCTCTGGGGCTTCACTGGAGATAGGGATGGGGTCTCTAGCTGGAGCGGGCTCAAGGCAATCAGGAAAGGTGACTGTGGGGGTGTGGCAGAGGACCATGGAGGAGAAAGGGGGACCCAGAAGTCCCTCGATCAGCAGTGCTAAGGTGGGGCAGAGCCAAGGAGGTAGTGGGGTTGATTCTGAAGGCTTTGGGGGCTTCATCTGCTCTGAAGGAATGGGACTAGGAGAGGAGGTGTTCTGGTTGGGCCCAGGTATCTTGTTTGTTTCAATCTTAGTCTTCTTGGCATTGATGGGCCCAGTCTTTGTTTTTTTAGTTTCATTCTGTCACCCAGGCTAGAGTGCAGTGGTGCTATCTGGCTCGCTGCAGCCTCTGCCTCCTGGGTTCAAGTGATACTCATGGATAGGCCCAGTCTTAATACTTAGGAAGTAATTCATCCCTCGGAGGCTCTCCCTTCGTAGCCTTTCTCTGACTTCATGAACCCCAGCTCTTGGAGGGCAGGCGTGGGTCTCCCTCAGACTGTGGACTCAGCTAACATTGAATCCCCCCAGGGCTCCCAAAGGAAGAGCTTTCCCCTACAGCTTCCCACTCCAAACTGGTCCCAGCACGAAATTCAGCTTTCCCTTCTCCCATCCAGCCCCTGCCCCTGTGAAGCTGAGTGCTGGGAAACAGTCTGACATGCACTTGCAAGACGCATTTTCATACCGTCAATGTCAATGTCACAAACTCCCTTTCACCCTAGTACTGCCCCCTCCCCACCCCACATCATGGGACCTTGCCAGTATCCCCCTGTATCTTTTTTTTTTTTTTTTTAAAGACATTTCCAGTGGGAGAACCAGAAAAAGGTGGGGAGGGAAACTTTTTGATAACAATTGTGGTTTTATTGTGTCCAATGAATGCATCAATAAATGAACTTGAAGCCCAAGCCTGTGCATGTCCTAATTCCACTCACCTAGCCCTGGGTACCTGCCCCAGTCACCCCTGGCTTTGAGAAGGGCTTGTATGGGTGACTGCCTGGCTGCAGTGTCTCACCTAAGCTAGGTGTGCACCTTAGACGCACAAAGCAGGCACAGGAAGTTGTGGGTAATAAGCTCACTTTGCAGCCCGCTGGGTGTGTGCCCACCCACCTGAGCCCCGAAAGAGGACCTGTCAGCTCCTGAGAGGCTGCTACAGTTTGCCTTGTTCTATGCAGGCATCTGAGGTAAGAAGGAGGGGCCAGAGGAGCACCTTGTCCAGCCTTCACCATGGCAGCGGGCATATAAATATAAATACAGGTAAGTTATAAATAGAAGTCCAGCTCTGAGCTGAAAACCACAGGCAGGATGAACAGCAGCCTCCAAGGGTGAGGCTGGCAGGCTGGGCACGGAGCGGCTGCTCTGGCGATTGACAGCAGGTAGTGCACTCCTGCCCCCTGGTGGCTGGAGGGAGCGGCGGATCCCAGCCTCCAGGGCTGGTCGGCGTAGCACCTTGAAGAGGGAGAAGCCATTGGCTTTACAAAATCAGAGAACTGGAAAGGATCTAGGTGATCATCTAAGCAACTCTGGTCATCTTACAGATGAGAAAACTGACGCCCAGAGGAGGGGAAGGTCTTTGCTGGGTCACAGAGTTGGCTGGCCACTCATAGCCCAGTGATCATTCTATTCCACCTCAACTAATGAGGCCCATCTGCTCCCTGAGCAGGAAGAGGAAGTGAAACCATTGGTGGGGGTGGAGAAATTTTTTTTTTTTTTTTTTGAGACGGAGTCTTGCTCTGTTGCCCAGGCTGGATGGAGTGCAGTAGCATGATCTCAGCTCACTGCAGCCTCTGCCTCCTGAGTTCAAGCGATTCTCCTGCCTCAGCCTCCTGAATAGCTGGGATTACAGGCATGTGCCACCATGCCCGGCTAACTTTTGTATTTTTGGCAGAGACGGGGTTTCACAATGTTGGCCAGGCTGGTCTTGAATTCCTGACCTCAAGTGATCCACCCGCCTCGGCCTCCCAAAGCTCTGGGATTACAGGCATGAGCCACTGAGCCCAGCAGGGATAGGGGATTTAAAACAGAAAACTACACTCCCAGGAGTCTAGCTTTTTCCAGCCAAGAAAAGGACAGGAGAAAGGGAGGGTGAGGGATGAGGAGACACCCCTAATGCCAGTGTAGGAGCACATGTGTGCACACACACATACACACGTGTGCACAACTAAATGCATACACACAATACCTGGACACCCTTTCTCTGGAGTCCAGGCTGGTGCCATAAGTGTTTGTGTGTTGCTGACAGGAAGCCCAGAGGGTGGGACCCCTATAACAGGAACCAGACCCAAGAAGGGGCACTGCTGTGTGGTGACTCTGTTTCCTGTCTGGGGCAGTTGGAAGGGACAGTGACCCACAACTGCCCCAGGTGATAGTGGAGCAGATCTGATAAAAGCCGGGGTGGGGAGTAGGCTGGGAGGGCTGAGGGAAGGGATGTCAATCAAGAGTATTTGTACTTCCCAGAGGTGAGGGGGAGCAAAGTGGCTGGGGCCTGGCCTAGTGGGGAGCTCCCTGGCTGACTGGGAAGGTCAGCTTGCCCTCCACTTTGCTCTCAACCCATCTACCAGAGCCCCAGATGCTGAAATGGGGCTGAGAGTGTGAAGGAGGAATGGCAGCTCTTCAGCCATCCAAGGAGCCGCTGCCCTTGTTCTTACGGCTGAGGGGGAAGGCAGACTTGCTCTGGGGTTGGGTCATCTTGCTGGCCAGGTAGACGAAAGGCTCCAGGAGGGAGCGCCGGTCCGCCACTGACACCTCCCACAGCTTCACCTTCTCTGACTTGGCCCAATGCTGAGCCACGTCTGGGTCTACACGCCGCTGCTCCTGTAGGTCACACTTGTTGCCAAGCACCACGATGGTGACCTGGGGAGGAGGGACAAAACATAGGCCCGTGAATGTACCATGGACCCAGGAATGGACATGGGGGCTGGCAACCACCTAGAAGTTCTATGAGAGGATTCTCAACGGCTGATGTCTTATCTCTACACTCGAAACCACTCATTGAGTGGAAGGAGATGGTTGCTTTTCCTTCTCTTTCCTCTGTTCAAATTCTGGCCTCCATCTAGCTCTCCTTTTAGGAGTTCTATCACCAGCTCTGTATTAGCCATACATGCTCATTACTAGCAGTCAGTTTCTGGCTCAAAAATTGGCGAGGAAACACTCCCAGAACCCTGCAGCTTAGAGGGGGATTTTAGAGAACAGAAGGGCCTTTGTGGCCAGGTGGGGTGGCTCACTCCTGTAATCCCAACACTTTGGGAAGCTGAGGCAAATGGACTGCTTGAGTCCAGGAGTTTGAGAACAGCCTGGGCAACATGACGAAACCCCATCTCTACTAAAAATACAAAAATTAGCTAGGTGTGGTGGTGTGCACCTGTAGTCCTAGCTACTTCAGGGGGCTGAGGCAGGAGGACCACTGAAGGCTTGGGAGGCTGAGGTTGCAGTGAGCTGTGATCATGCCACTGTACTCCAACCTGGGTGGCAGAGTGAGACTCTGTCTCAAAAAAAAAAAAAAAAAAAGTGCCTTCATAGCTAAAAGCATGGAACCATCAGGAAGAACAACTAATGGGGCTTCATACATAAGGTCAGAGACTCCTTAAGCCACAGAGGCCTCTTTGGTTGAGCAGATTCAACATGGAGCCACCCTTGAGGGTGAAGATACCCTCAGTGGCCTCCACCCCACCTCTAGCTCCTAACTCACCTTCTGGCAAATGAGTGAAGAATGGAGCCATGCCAGGCTTCCCAAACCAACCCACCGCCCACACTCTCTCGCCACTGAGGCTCCCACCAGGAGCTTATGCCACATACCTCCTTCTTGTCCTTGGATTTGTCAATCTCCTTCTTGAGCAGCTCTACGCGCTGAAAGGACTCTCTGCTATCTGTGCTGTAGACCAGGACGTAGCCATCAGTGCAGGAGAAGCAGTGTCGGGGCAGTTCGGCCCCGTCTCGGAGCCCCCGGGTGTCGTAGAAACGCACCTGCTCTCGCACCCCTCGGTCTGTCTCAATGGAACCTACGTAGATGTCCTCCTGTGTCTCGATCATCTCCGAACCTGGTATAAAATGAGAAAACTGTCTGAAGTGGAGAGGGAGATGGGAAATGTGAGTGATGAGAACATCTTAAGACTGACCAGACAGGGAAAGAAAGGAGCGCGGGGGTGCTGAGGAGGCCAGAGAATGGACAGCCTGGAGAACGGACATTAATTTCATGCTAATTCCATACTAAGCACAAGTGTGGCATGAGAGCTTCTCCTTCCTATCTCAGACGTTGGGTTTTTTCCCTCCAGATCTGCTCAGTGTTGTAGAGTTACTTTTGGGGGTTACAATGTAAGTTTTACTCTTCTAGGTGCAAAAACCACCAGAGAAGCTTTTTGCCTGTGTGTGTTGTGATCAAGTACTATTCCTTATTCTTCAACTTCTTCCACGGTCCCTCCCCCTCCAACAACACTCACCCACTACATGGTTCCCATACAGCAGCTGTTCTAGGATGGAAGTTTTGCCCACAGACGCCTGGCCACACACGACCACCTTGCAGCTCTTCCCCATGCTTAGCTTTCAACCTTGAGGAACAGAAGCACATTGGTGAGGTAAGGAAAGACAGCATCAACCCAGAGGGCAGTTACTAGCTGATGTTTTCTGATAGACAAAAACAAACAGAAGGCAGAACTTCCGTAACTGAGAGCCCAAATTCTAAACTGAATGTGTAGTTTCAGGGTTTCAGCACCATCCCAATGCTAGTCAGAAGAAACCAACGTCTCTATGTCCACTACTGGATGGCAAGCTGTTATTTTGTCTTTGTTATCCCCTATACAGGCAGTATCTGGCACAGGGCAGGTGCTTGGAAATGGTGCCATAAAGGGAGAGGAGAGTCACTGGCCATTCGCCAGGTTCCCTTCTGTGCGCAAGATGTGAATGTAAAGAGGACCAATTAGTGAAGGGAGCTCAGCCCAGCTTCCTCTCTATTTTTTTTTTTTTTTTAAGACAGAGTTTCACCATGTTGGTCAGGCTGGTCATGAACTCCCCACCTCAGGTGATCCGCCCGCCTTGGCCTCCAAAGTGCTTGAATTACAGGCATGAGCCACCGTGCCCGGCCCCAGCTTCGTCTCTTTAACCATGACCCCATGGAGAAATAAGCAGAAATAGTATTTTGTGTGGCTGTCTGACGCCATCTGCTCCGGGGAGGTGAGGGGGGAGGGAGAGTGAGCAAATGAAAAGGATAATCTGGGGCCAGGCACACTGGCTTGTACCTGTAATCCCAGCACTTTGGGAGCCCGAGGCGGGTGGATCACAAGTTCGAGACCAGCCTGGCCAACATAGTGAAATCTCATCTCTACTAAAAATACAAAAAATTAGCAAGGCGTGGTGGCAGGCGCCTGTAGTCCTGGCTACTTGAGAGGCTGAGGCAGGAGAACTGCTTGAACCCAGGAGGCAGAGGTTGCAGTGAGCCGAGATTGCACCACTGCATTCCAGCCTGGATGACAGAGTGAGACTCCATCTCAAAAGGAAAAAAAAAAAAAAAAGATAATCTGCTTTCCTGTACGGCTCATCTGGACAACAATCAATTCCCTCTAAACTATAATCAAGTCTAAGACTAAAAGATGAACATCAGACAAGAGTGAAAAAAAATCTAAGGAAAAAAAATGCTTCAGAAAGGAGACAGTTTTTGCTGCTCTTGGACGGATAGACCCAGAAGAGAAAGCTCAGACACAGAAACCCCAAGAGGTCCCAGATAGATATCTCCCCGAAGGCAAACTTCCAAACACAAGCCCCCCCCAACAACTCCAAACATCCCCCCAGAGAGCAGAGATAGATCACTCCCAAAGACGGTCCCAAACAGAAACCTCTCCAGGGGAAGCTCCTGACACAGACCCCCCTCTCCATAGTGACCCCACAAAAAGGACACCACAAGACTGGGCCAGAGGGACCGTCACCACAGATTTTCCCACGGGGGAGCCCCCAGAGGGAATGAGAGGCAGAGACAAGCCAGCAAAAGCGGCCCGGAGGTGGAGGCCCATCCCAGCGCCCGCGAGACTCGCCTCCCAGCTCCGTACCTCCTGGGGTCCCCGCAGCACCAGCCGGACCCTGGGAGCGCGCGGGGACCAGGCGAGGGACAGCGCCGCCGCAAAGGCTCCAGTCTTCCTTCCGGGCCGGTGTAGGCTCCGCCGGGCCCCGCCCCCGCCGCCTGCCCGCCCCGCCAGCTTCCGTCAGGCAAGACGAATTCCGGCAGCGAAGAGCGGGCGCGGACCGCGCAGCTCCCCCAGAGACCGGCGGGGGAATGACAGCCAGGACCTGGCCTGGGTGCGCGCTGGAGCCCAAGGTTCTAGGCTGCCTGGACGTGGGCCGATGTTCTGGTGTCTCTGAGACCCAAATATTCTCTCTCTAAAGGCGATCAGAGTACAGTTACTCTTCGTTTACTCAACCACTTATTCGTCAAATATTTTCTGAGCATCTTCTGTCTGTGCCAGGTACAGGGCCATATACTGAGAGAAGGTGGACGAGTTAGACATGGTGGCTGCCGATCAGAACTCACGGTCTAGAGAAGCTAGATGTCTACCCAACAATTACTAAGGTGCTATGGGACACAGCAAAGGGGCATTTAACTTTGGGTCAGCGGACATTGAAGGGCTTGGGGGAAAGGGTATTCTAGGGTGGAGGAAACATGGCTACAGTCATGGAATTTTCTGGAACTATGATGACTTGGGTTCATTATTGGTGGTAGGAAGGACCTAAATATTGGTACTCAAGTCATTTAAAAAAATAAACAGATAATCAAAGGCCTTGTGTGGCAGGCCAAAGAGATCAAATTGATGGTCATGGAAAGCCACTGCCAATGAAGTGACATCACCAGTCCCCAAGGAAGATCACTCTGGCAGAAGAGGGAAGGCTGGACAGAGATGAAACTAGGGACCGATTAAGAGACTACTGCTGTATTCCAAGTTTTTTGTTTTGTTTTTGCTGTTGTTTTGTTGTTGTTGCTTTTTTTTTTTTTTTTTTTTTCGAGACAAGGTCTTGCTCTTTTCTCCATGTTGGAGTACATTGGTGTGATCGTAGCTCACTGCAGCCTCAAACTCCTGGGCTCAAGTGATCCTCCTGCCTCAGCCTCCAAAGTAGCTGGGACTACACATGCCACCACACCCAGCCTATTCCAAGATTTAAAAAAATGATGAGAGCCTGAATCAGGATGCAAAGGTGGAGATAGATTTGGGAAATATTTGGTAGGAGAATCAACAAAACTTGGCAACACATTGGACGCCAAGGGTGAGAGGGAGGAGTTCATGATATCTTCCATCCTTCTCATATGGTGGCCAGGTGAGTGAGTTTAATCCATTTAACAAGATACAAAATTCAGTAAAGTTAATAATTACATACAGCATTTGTTTTTTCTGTTGTTGAGGTGTGGGTAGAGAATTAAAAGTTCAACTTAAATATGGTAAGCCTTGGAGATTTGTGAAACATACAAGAGATATCCAGTTTATAGTTGAATATACAGCTATGGAACCTGAAGAAATGTTTAGGTTGGAGATATGAAGGGCTGAGAACATCAACAGATGGAATTAAAGCTGTGGGAATAAATGAGTTGCCTTAGATAGAACATAAAGTTGGAAGATGGCGAGATAGGTTGGCTAGCATTAGACTGAACTTTGAGCCACTGGCAGGCAGGGCAGGTGGTCTGTGAGTCTTGTGCCCTCCCAACCTAGCAGAGTAGGCATTTTGGAAAGGGATATTGAGTGATTGGCTAGACGAATGACCCCTCCTTTCCAACCTAGCGAGCTTGTCCCATCCCTCCCTACTCAGTGGTCGCTGTGGTCTGGATTGAGAACTCATAGGGTACAAGGACACAGCTCCCTCCCCACTGGGATAGGCAGGGTAGGTGCATTGGCACATGCCGTTTTCCTGGAGGAAAACAGGTAAATCCTTTTAAAATTCCTTTGCCTTCTTTTTAGTTACTCTTAGCTTTACATTGTAAAACTACTCCTCATACTCCTCCAATTTGACCCCAGAAAGCTCCAACTTAATTCAGGTCCACAAAGAGAGGTTTGGGTGAGGGAATAACAACAAAGATAATTAAACTGTGCTCTTGTCCCCTATGAGTTCTCAATCCAGACCGCATTCGGCAAGACGAGCGTGATGAACGTTTATATGAGAGGTGGGAGTACTGGGGACACAAGAAGCGGGGACCTCACCCCGCGAGCTTCCTTATAAACTCCAGGGCAGGGTCTGGGGCGCCATGTGTCAGCTTTCCTAGGCTTAATGCTGAGATGGCACTCCCAGGTGGCTGACATGAAAGCAGCCTCGTAAAAGGGTCAGCGTCATTAGGATGATGAACCAGCTGGTGTTTGGCGATCCGAAGTGGATGAAAGGCGCAGGGTGAAGACGCCCTGCGTTACCCTGGCTTGGTTGGGCAGGGCTTCCAGAGAACGATGAAAGCTCGGGGAACTGGGCTCAAAGTGTCTCTTGCCTTTCCCGGGAAGAAGCCGTGGACGTACTCCAAGGTCAGAAAGATACCAGTGGGGATTCTTTCCCTCCAGAGTCCTGGGTCACCTGGTCCCCACCCAACTCAGACTCCCTGGAGCCTTTCAGGGGACTCTCTAGGATTGGAAGTTGCTATGGCAACGAGGCTCTTGGAATACTGAAAACAGCCAAGCCTTAGAGAGGCTATCACCACCTGTACACCCCACGTCCCACCCACGGGTAAAGTGGCGCCGCCTACGCACAGGAAAAGTCCCTGGGCTCCCGCCCCGGCGCGGAGACCACCGTGGACCTCCGGGGGCGGGAGGCCGCTCTGGTCCCAAACGGAGCCTCTCGCTGGTAGACTAGCTCGAGGGAGCCTTTCTGGGCGCAGCGCCGCTGAGCTGCTCTATGCTCCAACCGGAAGTGCTCTTCACCGCCTGCCTCCCACCCAGCTCTCTGGTCCCGGCGGTAAGATGGCGGCTGCCGCGGAGTGCGATGTGGTAATGGCGGCGACCGAGCCAGAGCTGCTGGACGACGAAGAGGCGAAGAGGTAACCGGGTACCAGGGTAGTAGAGGGGCTTCGTGTCTCAGGAAAACCCAGTTCCTGCCGTGATGCAGCCCCCAGCTGTTGAGGCGATGCCCCGCCGTCCGCAAACACCCCCCACAACCTGAGATCAAGGCCGGATGGACCCCCTGAAGGGGCGCTCTAGGGGGTCGGCCTTCCTCTCCAGCTTCCGCTTGGCGAAGGACCTGAGACGTGGCCTAGTTCAGCAGCTGAGAGGACGATCGTCCTTATAGGAGAGGCCGGGTCTCCGAGGGCAATTTCAGAGGTCTGATGCGAGGTGGGGGAGGCGGCGCGGCGTCGATGACGACTTCCTTACATCGCCCCCGACCCCCGCCTTCTCTTGTTAACTTCTGTGCATTGTTGCCTGTCTACACTTTCCATCTCCAAAACCTTTGCTTTCCTCACCCCGTTTTCCCTAATTGTACCCCAGCGTTCACTAGTCTAGGGTTTGAGGTGAGTGTGTCTCCATAATTGACCTGATTGCCCCCTGGTTATCCCAGAAGTCAAAGATGATGAAGAAAAAAGGAAGAGCGAGGGGATTATCTGGTGTTCTACACGTGAGACTCCTCTTCCCCTGTCCTTCCTTATCCTTCCCAGCACTGTTCTTTCTTAAGCAGCAAGGAAGAGGGCAGCTGCTTGGGCGCTGTTGGCACTCCGAAGCAGCCGCAGTGGCTCGAGATTGCCAGTCGGACTAGTCAAGGGAGCTGCTGAGTGAGTGGTTTTCGAGAACACTCTACATTCTGGCAACAGTTAGGCCAGATTATTGGAAGTGGGGTTGGAACAGAGTTGTGGGTAGTCATACTTGTTCTAATCCTAAAACAGAATTGACAAAAAGGTTCTAGAAGTTTGGAGCCCTTTTCTCATCAGCTGCAGGTTAATCTGCTTTTGTTCAAGATGACTACAGTGCCCTCAGTCTCCTTCCCACATACTTTATATCTTTCATACCAAGCCCATTAGGTGTTCAGGCTGCTTAATTTGAGGTGGTGGTGTAGAATTAGTTCATGAGATCTGAAATCAGTATTCTGAAGTTTTTACTATCTGATTAAGTTAAAAATATAAGAGGTGCTCAGGTGCAGTGAATAGTTATCAAGCTTGAGGAATAGTTATCAAGCTTGAGGAATAGTTATCAAGCGGTTATCACAGCCAATGTCTCCATCTGTTGGGAGCTGAGAGGTCTGACAAAGTGTAATAGGCCCCTGAGATATCAGAGAAGCCAGGAAACCAGAGTCTAGTCTCTGTTCTTAATTTTGAGTTTTCATGTTGTTCCTACTTCTTTCTAGGTATTTCAAGTTAAGCATCATCAACCCTTACACATCATTAAAGAGTTGCAAAATGGGAGACAAAACTCTGCCCAGCGAAGACAGAGCCTAAATTAATTGTAGAGATTTACTTGTATTTGGAAAGAGTTCAGTGGTTCTTTATATTATAAATGGGGACTTGGCCATAGGTAACTTTAAAAACTCATCGTGCTCACTGTAAATCTCTGATGCAGAGTGTCCCTATTTTGGACTTCATTTCAAAGCCTCCTATCTAAAGCAAATAAATTTCTTCAATCACAGCCTGAGAGGATATTCTGTCATAAAATTGGAGTAAATGAACCTGAAGACATATTATATAAAATAGGTTATGCTATAATGTGACCACATCACACAAAACATAGTATTTGGTAGCAGTACAATAAAATAAGTAAGGTAAACTACCTTATTTCGTGGAATTTAAGATGTCTTTAGGCCAGGCACAGTAGTTCACGCCTGTAATCCCAGCACTTTGGGAGGCTGAGGCGGTGGGTCACCTGAGGTCAGGAGTTTGAGACTAGCGTGGCCAACATGGCGAAACCCTGTCTCTACTAAGAATACAAAAATTAGCTGGATGTAGTGGTGTGCTCCTTTAATTCCAGTTACACCAGAGACTGAGGCAAGAGAATCACTTAAACTCTGGAGGTAGAGGTTGCAGTGAACCGAGATCACGCCATTGCACTCCCACCTGGGTAACAGAATGAGATTCCATCTCACATCATTTATTGCAGAATGCAAATTATTTTATCTGTCACTAAGAAAATATAACTGTAAATTAAACTATGACCACATGCATTGTTTCTGTAGTTCAAATAGTGAGAGAAAAAAAAAATTTTTTTAATTGGAAAAAAGCCTGGGCCTGGTGGCTCACACCTGTAATCCCAGCACTTTGGGAGGCCGAGGTAAGTGGATCACCTGAGGTCAGGCGTTTGAGACCAGCCTGACTAATATGGTGAAACCCCATCTCTACTAAAGATACAAAAATTAGCTGGGTGTAGTGGTGCACGCCTGAGTGGAGATCATTGCACTCCATCCTGGGCAACAAAAGCAAAATTCCATCTCAAAAAAAGAAAAATTAAAAAAAAAAATGCATTCTTATCAGACTTTTATATTTCTCATATATAGCACTCTTTTTGACCTAAACATTTACTATATGTCGCTTCTGTGCACAAATCAAAAGGAAAATAAATGAAATAAACAAAATCAGTTTAACTTTTTTCCATATCAGACATCCTTAGAAGAATAAACATTAGGGGCTGGGCACAATGGCTCAAGCCTGTAATCCCAGCACTTTGGGAGGCCAGGGCAGGTGGATCACTTGAGGTCAGGAGTTCAAGACCAGTCTTACCAACATGGTGAAACCCCATCTCTACTAAAAATGTAAAAATTAGCCGGACATAGTGGTGCACACCTGTAATCCCAGCTACTCAGGAGACTGAGGCAGGAGAATTGCCTAAACCCAGGAGGTGGTGGCTGCAGTGAGCCAAGATTGTGCCATTGTACTCCAGCCTGAGCAACAAGAGCAAAATTCTGCCTTGAGAAAAAAAATAAAAGTAAACATTAGGCTCTGTTAGTATGAAAAAGCCTTGTTTATATATGATTTTCCAGTGCTGAAAATAGGGTAGAGATTTAGAAGATTTGGAGGGAGGTGGTTTTATGTTTTTCATGTTTCCTGGATTCCTTATAGCAGAGGACAGTGATAGGAACATCCATTACAAATGCCCTTTTACTATCTGGCTTGGTTAGAGTTCTTTGGCCAAGTTCCTGCCTCTCTCGTTACAGTCCTACTACCAGTTCATTTAGGGATACAAGAGGTAATGGGTCTCTTGGGTTGTTTTTATGAGGTTCAGCAAGGAGTCCTTCCTTCCTTACATCTTGGCTTAAAATGTGTCCTGCTGCTGCTAAATTGTCACAGTCCCACTGGGGGCAAAATGAGAGGAGCTTGTAAGACGTTGGACTTCACAATTGCAGCATTTTAAATGGCTACATGTTTTAGTTCCTTAGCTTTAGTGTCTCTAGAGAGAAAAGAAATGGATTTCAATTTTTTTGCATGTCACACTGACAAAGTTCTTATAGCAGCCAAGAAGCTAAAATAAGGCTAGGCATAGTGGCTCATGCCTATAATCCTAACACTTCATGAGGCCAAGGTGAGAGGATTGCTTGAGCCCTGAAGTTTGAGACTAGCCTGGGCAACAGAGTGAAACTAAGTCTCTACAAAAACATTTAAGGCTGGGTGGGGTGGCTCACCCCTGTAATTCCAGCACTTTGGGAGGCTGAGGCCAGTGGATTGCTTGAGGCCAGGAGTTCAAGACCAACCTGGGCAACATGGCGAAACCCCATCTCTGTTTAAAAAAATACAAAAATTAGCTGAGTATGATGGTGCATACCTGTAGGCCCTGCTGCTTGGGAGGCTGAGTTGGGAAGGTTGACGCTACAGTGACCTGTGATCATACTGCTGCACTCCATCCTGGGTGATAGAGTGAAACCCTGTCTCAAAAAAACAAAAAAAGATTGGGGCTAAAATAAAAGACATGTAGTTGGTACTCCAAAATAGATCAGGATTCCATTCATGAAGAGTAATTATCTTTGCTCACCAGAACAGGCAAAGCTATTTATAAGCCAGAGGGTTAAACTTCAGATGTTTCACGTTTCAACTAACTTAAGGCTTTATGTTTTCCTGGGAAGTTGCTGGACTGCTTTACCTAATATGGGGATACCTGGCTTTTTTTTTTATTATTGTACTTTAGGTTCTGGGGTACACGTGCAGCTCACACAGGATCGTTGCAGAGGTACATAGGGAATACCTGTCCTGAATAAAGGATCTCTCATCATATGTCCTGGGCTGGGAAACGGCTTGGTCTCTATAGGGAGTCTTTCTTATGGTAAACTTGAGGGATTTCAAATGGTTGAGTTTTTTTGTTTTTTGAGATGGAGTCTGGCTCTGTTGCCCAGGCTGGAGTGCATTGGCGTGGTAATGGCTCATTGCAACCTCCATCTCCCGGGTTCAGGCAATTCTCCTGCCTCAGCCTCCTGAGTAGCTGGGACTACAGTTGCATGCCACCATGCCCGGCTAATATTTTGTGTTTTTAGTAGAGATGGGGTTTCATCCTATTATACAGGATGGTCTTGATCTCCTGACTTCGTGATCCACTTGCCTCAGCCTCGCGCCCAGCCTCAAATTGTTTTTCAAAGAGAAAACACTTCTTTGTCTCAGCACATACCTAGTGTGACTGGACAACAAGATCTAAAAGAATCAAGGGATCCATAGACTTAAGACTCAGGACATCCTTACCTGATTCCTTGAGCTGATAAGCTTAACTTCTCTGTATCTGTTTTCTTGATGGACACAAATAAGAGCAATTATTATTAGGCCCTTACTACCTAAGTATTGTAAACTCTTTGTAGATTAGGATTTTGCCTTTTATTTCTCTGTTCACATTGTTAATAGGAACAACTGAACTCTGAATTCATATCCCAGGGTCCACTGTAGTTGCTATTCATTTCCTGCAGCTTTGCCTGGTGTTTTTGAGTTTGTGGCCTTACTTAACTGAAGAGTTTGTGGGCATGCCTCCCCACTTTCTTCCTTACCCTGTTTTAGATTCTTAGGAATGTGTCCTTCTAATATTCCTCTTGAAGTTTCAGAGCAAACAGCTAGACATTTCAGTAAGCCTGCAAACTGAGTGGGAATTT